AGAAAGCACAGGGGTACAGCGACCCCAGAGAAGGTGCCCATCTGATTAGATACGAAACACGAGATAAAAAATAGGAAGAGATGGTAGATTGTGTGGAGATGTGTGTCTAGGTACTCGTTCACCGGCGGTGCCGCATCGCAGGGAGGGAGGAACAGTGTCCCTTCAGCCCTCTCAGGTAACGTGTGCCCTGCAAGTGCACACTTTGAAATGCTTTGCAACAAGTATCGATTAAAATCAGCATTGCCCCGGTTCAGTTTCAGGTTCATCGCATCTATTTTTATTCTACAGCCGACGGTTAATATTGCAAAATACTTGGATGTTACAGTGCTTTACAGCACTAAGCAGGTAACAAAACAAAAAATTCCTACCGAAATTCCTACCAAAGGCAAGCTATTTTTGCTGGTTAAACAGTGCTTTTGTAGACTGATTTAGAAGGAAGTTAAAAAGTCTCTATCCTAGTCCCTTAAATGAATATAAATAGTCTCACAGATCATGTGAATATGAAGTAGACAACGATTTTTTTTTAAATATAATTACAAAGTTTAGTACAACAGGACAAGAGCGTCACCTCCAGTAAGTTTTGTCAATCTCGTGAAGAAATCAGTGTTATGAAATTGTTCTGTGTATCTCTGCCTATGTCTGTCACTTAGAAAACTTTTGAACCCGTTGGCTAATTTCAGCCAGATTTGAAAGATGGAAATGTCTGTCTGAAAACTGACAGATGGGAGGAGGAGGAAAATCTGAAATCTGTACTCTGCTGCAAGAAAAGCAGGCATAAGTTAGTCCTTGTTCGTTCTTTCTAGCAGTAGGTGGCTGAGCAATTGGTATATGCAGAATTCTTCAGTAGCCATTACATGAACAAGAAGCAGGAGGAAGATTGTCTGATAGGGGAAGTGGAAAAGAACTGCGGATACTGTAGTGGATGGAGAAAAGAATTGAGAGGAAAAAAGTTACAAAGCTTGGTTTCTTACAGGTTCACAACTTCAGCTTCTAACAGTACAGCTTACTATTTTTTTTAAATGTCCCTTCTGTAGCAGGCTTGTGGGTTTTATTTGTTTGGGCTTTTTTTGAACAAACAGTTCCCAACAGGCCCTTTGTACTGACTTCTCTATAAACCGTACTTTGAAGATCTTGAGGTGCATCTTGGTTTATGCACTGTGTTCCTTCCAGACTTGGCTTTTCCCAAATTTGAAAATTGCATACGTTAAGTACTTCTCTATAACAGTAGACCCAATCTTCAAACAGATCTGTTTTATAGGGTAAAAATGAACGTAGGAGTTGCCCACAGCGAGGTAAATCCAAACACACGGGTGATGAACAGTCGTGGAATGTGGCTGACATACGCACTCGGAGTTGGCATGCTGCACATTGTCTTGCTCAGCATTCCTTTCTTTAGTGTCCCTGTCGCCTGGACTTTAACAAATGTGATTCACAACCTGGTGAGTACCCTCCCTTGTAACAAAATTTGAAAAGTTATTTGTACATATTGATTTTTAGTAGCAGGAGAAGAGAAAAATAGCCAGGCTGTATGGATAATGAAATCCGGCTAGCCAAAACACCACCTTTACTTGGCTTATCCACTATTTTGGGAGGAGGACTGATACATGATCACTTTGGGTTTAAGCACAAAAGACGTGAAATGTACCTTACATAGTTAATGGATTCTTTTAAAAGGCATTTAATTAAGCTAGAATCTTGCAAACATAAAATCATCATGCCAAGTGACTTTTACAGTGTTTTGTATATTATTAGAGAGCTGTGCTGAATCCATAAAATATATTACATTTTTAATTCTTGGATATTGTCTACTGAGGTTTCTACATAAATCTATTGGTATCCCAAAATGTTTAATTTCAGCACTTGATCTGTTACCTTGGACAGAAACATTTGTGTTCTTTGTCTTCTTGCTTTGATTTCTGGTCAAACTAGATAAGTGTTAGCTCAGAATGACTTCAGCATACAACTTTGTCACTATAGATGACATAAGAAAAATCTTACTTGGAAGCAGCAGGGAAAAACTGGACTACCTTGACCTAAGCCCTGAAACCATTTGTTGTGCAGTGGGTTGTGGTCTGCATGATGACTTTTGTATCAAAAGGATTTGGATGCTGGAGACGTTAAGAATCTTTCTGTCTCCTGTCCCCAGGAGTATGAGTAAGTAATGTTAAGTATGTATATTGGTCCTGCCAAGCTTAGAGAAGAGAGAGCCTTAATTCATCAGTTTACATCATACTTGAGGTTTGCTAACTCAGCTTTCTAAGATTAACAGCAAAGAAGTTCTGACAAAAGATAGTTTCTTCCTTAGTTAGGAAAATGATAATTCACTTTAAAGACTGAGGTTGGATAATATACTCTTGAATCCTGTAAAAAGAAAAATTGTGGTATTTTCTTTTTTTATTTGAGCTTTTTATTTTTGTAGATGAGTTTAAAACTAATAGTGGGATTGTAAGCATCATTAGAGCATGTTGTACATTATCTTTGACAGTATCAGACATGCCTGACTTCGGAAGATGTTGGCAGTGACAAGTATTACTAATTATTTCCCAAATGCCTTACCGAATTCATTGCAAGTAGCTAGAGTGGCAACAGGGATGAGAGCATGCTCTGGCAAGTATTTTTCTAGTGGAACACTAGAAGATGAGTATAAACTGCACTTTTGGATATTTCATCATTTAAATGGCACTTTTCTGGAAACAAATCCTTGAATGGTTTGACAAACAAAAAAATCTTGGATTTCCAGTAATGGAAAACTCTTAGCTGGCCTTGAAAGCATTTTTGGTGATCCTTTCTGCAAGTACCAGTATGAAATAAAATGTGTAGTAAGCATTTGGATCTGACCTAAAAGTGCTTTTTTGGTTAAGTTATTAAAATTGAGACACTGCAAACATCATGAATCAAAGAATTAATTAAGTGACTTAATTAAGCAAATTATTTCTCTTAGGTTAATAGGCCTCCAGTCAGGGGGCTGTTCCAAAAAAAAAAGTGGAAGACGACATGAAGTGACTTGCTCAAATTTCACCTCCTTTATGAGAATTTGGAAGAAATGTGATTTTTTTTTTTTCTATATAAAGCTTTCTAGAACAATTTCTGTAGGTGCATAAGAAAGAACCTGAAGGAAAGAAAAGGAAGTCTTTGATATTTCCTGATAGAGACTCTTGCTTGGAGTTGGTGTGCTCTCTTTGATAGAAGACAAATGTTTGTTAAAACTGGAAGAGGGCAGACTCCCCTATCTGTAATCAATGGGCCCAAATCGATCTTTCAGAACAGAGCAGACATGGCGTGCTCCCATCAAACAGAAACAAATCACAAAGAAAGTCCAGTGCGGTTAAGGAAAAGCAGCAAAGAGGTGGACAGATGGTGTTCAACAGATCGCTGGCAGTCAGCTTCTAAGTATTTGAAGCTGGCGGGGGACTGAGAAAGGTTTCAAAAGTTCTTGTTAATATTGCCAGTATTCATAGATAGATTTTTGCTTTGTGCAGGCTTTACCTCATAACTCAATTAACACTCTGTTCAGAAAGTGGTAATACAAATCGGCAGCCCTAAACTTGTTACAGTGCTTGTTAAAATTCTGTTGGTTTCATGCAATTTTTGCCATCTAATGTAGAAGACAAGGCAGTGGATCTGATGTCCCATAGATTTTGGCTTTAATTCTGAGTGTGCCACGGCACAACCTCGGGCAAATCACTTGTCCCTTTTCAAAAATTTGTCATTACAGGCTAACAGCTCTTCTGGGTGAGAATTCATTTGCTCTCTTTTTTTACAATTGCATTGAACAATGTAACAACTATAAAAAAACATAGCTAAAAGTGCCACTGTATTCACTTTTTATTTTCCCCAGGGAATGTATGTGTTTTTGCATGCAGTAAAGGGAACTCCTTTTGAAACACCTGATCAGGGGAAAGCTAGGCTACTAACACACTGGGAACAACTGGATTATGGAGTACAATTTACATCTTCAAGAAAATTCTTCACGATCTGTCCGATAATTCTGTGAGTTCAAAACTGTATTATGGATTAACTGAGTCATAAAACTATTCTTTCAAAAGCTGCAACAAAATGGGTTGCAATTTACATTCTAAAAGCATCTTCCCTCTTTTTTTGCTTGCTTGTTTGTTTGTTTCTACATCACAGAGGTAGGGAGTACATATTTAGGGGCCATATAATCAACAGTCTTTCTTCCTGCAGCTTTTGACACTCCAGTTCACATACTGAAGTTTGTAAACAGTTATGAATGGGGCAGGTTTTAAAGACAGGAAACATTGTGAGGAAAACTTACTGTTAGCTCTTGAAGTTCTTTAGAAGATTGTGAAGTCATAAATATTGAAAATCTAAACTAATGGCCTTTAGCACAGGACAGCATTTATTAACCATTTTGCAACTTGTGAGTTATGAGCAGTGTGGCAATCCTCACTGAATGGGGTCCAGGATTTTGCATGTCGGTTTTGCTTTGTACAGATTGCCTTCTATTTACACTACTTATGTAAATAGATCAGAAATTCTACACCGCCTGTCTCTGTTGACAAAAGTATGGTTGTGTAACTGAAGGAAATCATATACATATTTAATATCCAACTCTAAAAAGTCTTTCTATTTTTCCCTGAAGGAAGTTGTTGTCCACTTACATGGCAGGGTTGGGGGGGAAGGGCGGATCCTGCATTGTGTTTAGAAAGTTGGTTCACAAAGGATAGGAACTGAAAACACATATGTAACTCCTCAAAAAAACTCCTTTCTTCAAAGATAGCTTCCCACTTTCCAGTAGGAGTCTTGTATTCTTAACAATTATGGATGGTTCTCTTCATGCACTAATAATGCATAAGGAGCTGAATAAACATCTCCATTTTGCTGGGAAAACCCCCAAAAACTAACAATCTGATAGCGTCATTTCTGTGACTAGTTTTTGCAGAGAACAAGATGAAATTATTGGCTCAAATTGTAAAAAAGTTGGTAGTGAATTGGATTTTCTGAGGCACATTTCCTTATTCTTGCAGTTGAACGGGTTGTGGAGTAGCCTAAAAGAAAAATGGGCTGGAAACATCTGCCAGATGGGAAGCGTTTTAAAATCATGCCAATTACAGATGTGCTCAGCATAAATTATTTTTGCGGTGAAAAAGGTCAAATGCTTTGTCACTGAGCTTGCTAGGGTAGCAGAACTGCGAGCATTTTGGTAACACATCTTACACTATTTAAAAGCTGTGTCATAAATCGGGCTTGTAGCTGCACAACTTGGAGACTCCAACTTGAGGGGCGAGGAGAAGTGCTGGAGGAAAGTACTGGCTGAGAGTTGCTTTTTAGCACCTTGGAAAGTATGGGAAGAAGAGACTTAGTCCATAATTTTTCTGTAGATATTCTAGAACTTCAAGTGAGATATTTAATACAGGAATAGATCAGTTGTTAACCAGTAAAATATTACTGATTACTAAAGCACTTTTTTCAACCATGCTTTGCTTGTTTATTTTTTAGACGAGAGTGTCATCAGCTAAGCTTGCTCCCTTTTCTCCTGCAGGTACTTCCTGACAAGTTTCTATACAAAGTATGATCCAACACACTTTATCCTCAACACAACCTCTCTCCTGACCGTGCTTATCCCCAAGCTGCCACAGCTGCATGGCGTTCGACTCTTTGGCATCAATAAATATTAAGCAGAAGGTTTGACACTGACCGCCTCTGACATGGCTACTGCTACTCCCCAGGTGGAGGAAACGAGTAGTCTGCTGTGCCATGTATCTAATGGTATTCAATGAGAGATGTTTTTACATCTGCGATATAGTTCCTACTTCCTGCAGCAGTGTCTGGGATGAAAGTTGAGTTTGTAAGAAGATGTCTTCAAATACTTAAATGTGAATCGGAAACCTCTAGAAGAAAGATTTCCATGAAGAACTGGGCGGGCCTAGCTCTAAAGTGTGATCCCACTAAGACTGTATGTATGGCTGGCTGATGCAAGTGACTTGTAAGGAAGGCGCAAGTTAACAGCTGAAATGGAGAGCAGTGTTTCACAAATACCCAGTCAGCCATGATGCAGATGGTAACTTTACACATAAATCCAGGATCCTTGATGCAAAGGACTGGTGAGGCCGCATTCTAGATTAAGCGAAAGTAGCTAGTTTCTGTTGTATGGATTGTAGGTGGTTGTGCTTGTTACTGCATTGTAAAGGTTTGTCTCACGGTAAATACTATGACAGCTAGCATAAACTGATGGTATGATTCATGCCTTATCTGTTCTTGTGATTGGGGTTTTTTTTTGTAACAAAGACGGAAGAAAGTCCTTAACTGTAACCTCAGGGGATTTCTACATCAACTTAATAGCTCAGTTTATGTACGCTTTTACAGGTTGCCACTGTTGTGTTTATTTCATTTTGCTTACCAGGATACTGACTTTTCTGTGTGTAAATGGGACATCCTGAGAATCTGAAATTTCTTTTAAGGTGTGGATTTTTGGCTAGTTTCTCTGATATTTGACTGATGGGTTATTTTTCAGTAATTGAGAGGCCTCTAATGGTGGGGGAGAGGGTTGCTGCTGTTCTAGGAGAAGCAACAATGTTGGAACACATAGGAGAAACTCTGTGTAGGTCGTAAATTAGAATAGAAGCCGAGCTAGAATCACATGAACTGTATGCTTTTGCAGAAAAAAGGTATAGATCATTTGCATGTCTTGGAAATGTGGAGGAATGGTGTGTTTTAGGGGTACCGTGTATTACTGAGTAATCTTGTATATAATCAACTCTGGAACTAGAGGTACATCTGGAGCTCTGAGCACTTATTTCTCTATCTTGGAAAAAGGATTAATTTTGAAATTTACCATATGTCTGCCAGCCAAAACCAGCTCAGATTTAACAGAAGACTCCATTTAAGACTTGATTTACATTTTGGTTGCAATGACAGCCAGTGAGCTGGGAAAAAAAAGCCCACAGTGGCCTACTTCTTTTCTTGCTAACATAATTTTCTGGCTATTTACTTTCTTGGTAAAGATGCTGTTAAAAAAAATAAATTAAAAATGTCATGAGTTACGAATTTTTTTAGCAATTGGGAGTAATTCCTTGCGTTATTTGTACAGAAAGTGGTAACTGGCTAATTTTTCAGTAATGAACATCACAAGGGAATGCCGGCCCACTGACAGTCACTGTTTTGTGTACAAGTGACTAGGACTTTAAGACACGGACCGAATTTATCGAGACAGAGCGGTGGTGACGCGTGCTGGGGAGTGCCGGGACCCCAGGTAACGGGCCGGGGACGCCTCTGGGTGGTTGTACGAAGCTCTTGTCTTGTGGAAATAAAATTACTTGCCCTCGGACTGCTGCCTGTTCTTTTCGGCCTTGCGGGGAGGCAGGAGCGCGGTGTCCATTACAACC